AAGGAATACAATAACATACCAGCAAACAAATGGGAAAGATATCTGACGGAACTGTTTAAAGCAAAGGAAAATAATAATCAACACACTAAGGTACCTGAATTAAGACACGAAATAGATATCAGTTTCTATCAAGTAGAAATAGCCATAAACTCACTCAAAAATAGAAAGTCATCAGGACCAGACGGAATAACCAACGAGCTTCTAAAACACGGAGGAGAAAGTATAACCCTAGAGATGACAAAACTTATACAAAAACTAATATTATACTGCAAGATACCAGACGCATGGAGAAACAGCATAATGATACCAATGTTCAAGATTGGAGATAAAGAAGACCCCAATAATTATAGAGGTATAAATCTACTGAACACCGCACTTAAGCTTACCACAAAAGTCCTAACCAACAAAATCAATAAACTAACAACTTTATCAGATGAACAACAGGGATTCATATCCGGAAGATTCTGCGTGGACGCCATATTTGTACTATGACAAATCACAGAAAAGGCCTTTGAGTACAATAAACCAGCATATCTATGTTTTATAGACCTGACAAAGGCTTTCGATCGCATCCAAGTCGAAGACGTCTTATACCTACTGTATAAAAGAAACATACCAATCAATATTATACAAACCATCGAAAATATCTACTTCCATAATCGAATACAGGCAAAGATAAATGGAAAACTAACATAGTTTATACCAGTACAACGTGGAGTCAGGCGGGGTGACTCGATAAGCCCACTTCTCTTTAATATAATAATGAACGAAGACGAAATAATACAAGCAGTACGTAAAGGTCATGGCTACAGAACGTGGAACAAAGAAATCCAAATATTATGTTATGCAGACGACGCCGCATTAATCGACGAGACAAAAGACGAGTTCCAATGATTAACATACATCTTCAATACAAAAGCCAAGAAATACAATATGATAATATCAGCAGAAACAACCAAATTTATGACATCACTAAATACAAGTATCTAAATACATTTAGATGCTAATTAGACAAACATCTAAATACCCACTAGGGTGTAAAATCAAAATTGATGGGAAAATAATAAAGCAGTAAGCAAGGTTTAGATATCTGGAAATAGATATAACTAGTTACGGAGATGTTGAAGAAGACGTACGACAACAAAGCTTAAAAGCAAGTAATGCGGCGGAATATCTTAATGACACAATCTGAAAGAACAAACACCTAAGACAAGACACAGAAACAAGAATCTATAAAGCAGCAATTAGACCTATATTAACATACACGGCGAAGACCAGACCTGACACATCTAAAACGAGGCGACTACTAGAAACAACAGATATGAAAATACTCCGACGAATATCCGGGAATACTCCGGGAAAAGTCTGTTGGATAGGGAGAGAAGCGAAAACATAAGAAGAGCATGCAATATAGAAGACATAAATGGATGGGTGACAAAACGAAAACAATGTGGAACGAACAAATCAGTAGAATGGCAGAGGATAGAATAGTACGAATAGCACGAGATAAGTCACCAAATGGACCAAGAAGTATTGGCAGATCAAGAAAAAAATGGTGCGACAATTTAAACAATTTAGGAGGATAATATTGAAGAAGAAACAGATTTTAAAGCCTACATACAAGAAGGAAGAAGAAGAAGACAATTTCTTTTACTAAACTTATATGTATTTTTTAAAATATAGTAAGATATTATATTTATGAGTACGCTAATGAATTATCTTCCTAAATAAAGTCGAATTCTAATTATAACTGAGCAATTAACACTATAATTATTTATCTAAAACACTAGTCTAGTTATTCAGTTTGTAGTTTATTTTTATTTCTGAAGAAGTTCCACAATATCAATTGAGCGCTTAGGGCATCGGCCTCTCTTTCTAATCCGAGAGCCAACATGTATAATAAAGCATAAAAACCTTTATTGAGGCGAAGATTACAGATAAAAGAACAGACGCTTTATATTTCGGGAAGTTGTTGCAGAACAGTCTTTAAAACAGAAACACTCACTGACAGTCGTCGATCTTACAAGTCTGAAGCCCATTAATGTGTGTTATGAACTTTACCGACAAACTCATAAACATAGATAACCTTTTCTTCTAAAGGTAACAACAAATATACACACACATATATATAATATATATATATATATATATATATATATATATATATATAATATATATATATATATATATATATATAATATTTTTGTTGTTTCCTGACCGTGAATTTTAAATATATTGTTTGTCTGTTTTCTTGGTTTGTCGGTCTGGTATTTAAAGACCAATCAACTTAGTAAAAAATAAAAAAATAAAAATTCGTCATAAGTGTATAGACGGGTTTGATAGTTGAAATGTGCAGTATGAGATAATCCAAAAAGCCTCCCATCTAGCGATTCATAATTTTTTAGTGAAAATATGTTTAAATAAACAGTCAAAACGCTAAAATCTTTATATATTTCATAATAATTTAAAAATTTGTCTATTTAGAGATTTGATGTCAACAGACAACTTTTCAGAGAAAAAGATACACAAAATGAGATATGCTAAATTAAAATTGGATGATAAACAAAAAAATTATTGCAAAATAAACAACAAAATCGCTGTTTTTGAATATTTTTAATGACTTCTTTATTATTTATTAAAATTTGTTTAAATTTACATGAACTTAAGGGTGTTATCGTGTTTGAATATTGTACAAACAGATAGGTTGAATCGTTTTTGCGAAATTTAAATTGTTTATAAGATTTTTTGTAAATGAGGTAATTTCTAAGGCCGGTCCAAATAATTTGAGTTAATGTATACTGCATTCGCTTAGCTCGGGCATATTTTGACAGATTCATTGTCGGAAACATACAACAATTCTTACTTCTCAGTATAGAAAGAAACATATAAAATCAGAATTTTGGTGTTTGTTGAAGGTAAACTAAATTCACTAACAAATACTTACAATGTCGGGATAGTATTATGAGGTTTTTTCCTGGTTTTTCCCTCATAATTTACTATGGAATCACTAACAGGAGAATTTTACTGTCATCATGTCATGTGTTTGTCTTTTTAAAGACGAATTACATGCTATGATTTTTTTCTGACGGATATTCTCAAGTTAAAGTTGATTTCATGTAATCGAATGAACTATCTTATAAGTAAATTCGTCCCAGGAGCGCAACTGAACAATATTGGCAATATCATTTTAAAGTCGTCTACTTTAAAATGCATAATGTATGTCTGAATTGTCAATATAAATGAGTCAGATAAAATAAAACTATTAGAAGAATTTTTCACTATGTAACAAAAAACAAAATTTGTTTAATTTACTGTTTGTATTTTGAGAACGATTTCCGAAGTGGAAATTGAAACGTCAATAAACGTATTTTTATCTTTAATTGTGGCTTATTCCCAGTTAAATATTAATTAATTTAAAATGCCACAAGAAAATAGCTTCAGAACAATACAATTATATAGTCTATTTGATTTCTTGAATACTCAGGGTTATTGCCATCATCAAATTGGGCTTTCCAAGTGTATAGTCGTCGCTTGGCTAGTTTATACCAGGTGTTTGCAATGATCATATCGTTTTCTTTACAGAATTCATACAATTTCTGTCCTCGATCGTTAGGTTGTCCTAAACCTAAAGGACCTACAGTCTGACCTCGTCGACTGCTTTGTATACTGAGTTAAATAAGTCTACTATAATGTCTATGGTTTCATCATTTTTGCATTTTAAGATTTCTATAGGTATTTGCTCTGGACCTACTACTTTACCATTTTTGCATTTTAATTTCCTCTTTTAATATCTTTAAACCCATATCCTTCTCTACTTCTATCTCCATCTGCTCTGTCCTATTGTCTTTGAAAAGTTTATTGATGTATTCTGTCCATCTCGTTAATTTGTCGTTAGTATTGAATACAAGTTTCCCATTTGCATCTTTCAGTATTCCCGGTTTTCTTGTTCTATTGTGAGTTAATTCTTTATTTTTTTTATGTGTGTTAAAACTATCATGTCTTTTCTGGTATTCTTCTATTTTTGAGCATTGTTCTTTTAACCATTGTTCTTTCGCTTTCATAATTCTGTATTTTATTTGTTTATCCACTTTTTGTACATGTGATTATCTTTGTTTTTATAATGACGTCTTTCTTCCATTAAATCTAAAATTTCTTCCGTCATCCATTGCTTTTTTTTATATCAGGTTGGTATTATAATTTCTTTTTGACTTTTATCTATTTCTGTCTTTATTAATAACCATTTTTTATCCGCCTCAGTATTTTGCAGAATTTGTTCTATAACATTCATTAATTCGTTGTTGAGTTCATCTGCCAGGCGTTGCCTTAGGAGTGGGTTCTTTAATTTACTTGTATCGATTTTTGCATTTGTTCTTCTTCGTTTTATTATTTTCATTTTGAACAATGTATTAGCTATAACAAAATTATTGTTTTGGCAAAATTCGATAAGCCTGTCACCCCTTTCGTTTCTATTGCCCAGACCATATCCTCCTGTACATTTTTTTACTTTTTCTTCCCCAACTTTTGTTGTTACGTTAAAGTCTCACATTATAATTGTTACATCTTGTGTTTTAATGGATTTTAAAATGTTGTCTAGGTCTTCGTAGAAAGTTTCAATATCGCTCTCTGGTTTGTCTGCAGTTGGAGCATAAACTTGTGGGATTTTGGGTTTGTTTTGGTTTAATTGTAAGAGTATAATTATGTTAGTAGAAAGAGCAGAAAGCTAGTTAAAAAAATACAATTACAATATAAATAGAGCCAAGAAATAATTACATATTATTCTTAAGACTGAATTATCTAACACGACGTTATTTTCATTCTTAACAACGATATTTTTAGTATTATTTGGTAATAGTTTTTCACCTCGGCATTTAAAAAAATATAACGAATTTATTACATACAGTTCTCCGGTAATTATATATAAGTTTGCAGATAGATTAAAAATGTAAATATTTCAAATATTTAATAATAAATAAATATCACATAAATCTATTTTATTTCAGATATGTCCTTATATCCTGCCAACAGTACTACAACCGACTGTATTCCAAAGTTTCTATATGGGTCCAGTTAGTTTTTATCTGGGGTATAGCATTTCTTCTAATGGTAAGAGAAAATTTATCTATAATAATTATAAAAAGAACTTTTTATTTAGTATACAAACAAAATGCATCGACGGATGTCACTGAAAAAATATCAGAAAAAGTAAATGTGTTCCGCTGTTTTTGTTGATGTCGAACTAATCTTTGGGAGAGAATGGCCTTTCGATTATCTCTGCTCCGAGTTGTCGACATCCTTTGATGTTTTTTTCAGGGCTACCAAGGTTCTAGTCTCTTGAGCCCTCAAATACTACTACACTGATTACTAATCAATGCATTACTGATTACCTATTTTTTATATTATTTATTTTTATTTGAAAAACTTAAAAAATATTCTATCTATCTCTATCTATACAGCCCTTGCTTTCCAATTTTGGACATAGGCCTCCTCTTCCTTCTTCCACGTCTCTCTATTGTAGGCAGTTTGTATCCACTTCGGGCCTGCGTGTTTCTTCAAGTCATCTGACCATGTCATTTGTGGCCTTTCTCTTTTTGTTTGTAACTATAATGGTCTCCAGTGTACAATCATCGTATTCCATCTGTCGTCTTTTTGTCTTATGATGTGTCCAGCAAACTTCCACATAAGTTTTGCTATCTGCGTTGATACATCGGTCACTTTTGTTTTGTTGCGGTTCCAAGTATTTCTATCTTCATTTCTTCTATAGCCTGATGTTCAGCATGTGCCTTTCCGTGGCTTTTGGGTCTATGCTATTTTTTTCATGTTTATCTCCTGTGAGAACAGGAAGTATACATTGGTTGAAGACTCTTGTTTTTAAATATTGGAGATATTTTCTATTTTTTAGTATATAGGAAAGTTTTCCGAAGTATACCCAAACCAACCGTATCCTTCTCTTTATTTCTCTGGTCTGATTTTGTTTATTTAATTTAACTAGTTGTCCAAAATATACATATTCTTTTACTTGTTCTATAGTTGTTTGTGCAATTGTAATTATTAATTCTTCTGGTTGGTTGGTCATAATTTTCGTTTTATTATAATTCATTTTTAGACCTATTTTTGTTGATTCGCTATTTAATTCATCCATCATATTTTGTAATTCTTCCCTTTTATCTCTTATTTAAACAATGTCGTCTACATATCTCAAGTGATTCAAGTATTGGCCATTTATGTTAATACTCCGTTTTTCCATTGTAATTTCCTCATGACATCTTCCAAAGCTTGATTGAATAGTTTGGGTGATATAGTGTCACCCTGTCTGACTCCTCGCCGTATCTTAATAGGCTCCGTTTGTTCAACTATTTTAATGGATGTTGTTGCTTGATCATATATATTGGAAATTAAGTCCGTATATCTATAGTCTATTTTCCCATTTTGTAAAAAGTTCTTTACTGCCCAATGTTCCACCTAATCGAATGCATTTTCAAAAGTCTACAAATGCCATATACATTGGGATTTGATATTCGTTGGCCTTTTCAATTAATATTTTTATCGTAAGCAGATGGTCGCTTGTACTAAAACCTTTTCTAAAACCGGCTTTCTCTTTTGACTGGTAATTATCTAACTTAGTTGTTAATCTGTTTGTTAGTAGTTTAGTTAACAGTTTGTACATTACATTAGGTAGCGTTATGGGCCTATAGTTTTTCAGATATTTTTTATCGCCTTTCTTAAATAGTAATAGTGTTATTGCCTCGTTCCATGTGGTGGGTATTTGTTTTGTGTTCAATATTTTATTTATTAGTACATAAAGCATTTCCACAGTTCTTCTATCTTTCGCAGGAGATTTGTTGTTCTTCATTTCTTTGAGTGCCTTTTTTATTTCATTTTTACTGATTTCTGGTTGTAGGTCAGAGTTAACGTTCTTTATTTTCATTTGTAACTGATTACGGATTTCTTGGGTTGGTTTTTGTTCTGTTTTATAGAGATTTGTAAAATATTCGTGCGTTATCTGTAAAATTTCTTTTATATTGTTGGTCTCCACTCCTTCTTTGTTCTTTATGCTATTAATTTGTATGTTTTCCAGATGCTGCTTTAAGCACTTCATGTTTCTATTTTTTTTCAATTGTTTTCTCTATCTTTTCTTCCTGTACTCTGCTTTTACACTCCTTGATATTTTTTCTAGTAGTTTTGTTTATTACTTTGTATTCCATTTTATTTCTGTTCCCTTGTTCTAGTAATGTTCTTCTTGCGTTCATAAGAATCTTTGTTTCCTGGGATATGAAACTTTCTTTTTTGTTGTTGTCTGTGCTATTTCTTTACCCACTTTCATTAGAGTTTCAGTAAATATCATGTTTATTTCATCGATATATTTGTGTTATATATCTTCCTTGGTCGGCAATATTTCCTTTATTCTCTCTTCGTACGTCTGTTTTTCTTGTTTTAGTTTTTCCATGTCTAATTTCTGATTATTTTCCATTTTTTTTCTTTCCTCAAATCTTCTACAACAGTATCAATGATCAGCTTGACTCGGATTAGTCTATGGTCGCTACCAGTTGAGAAGTGATTTAGGGTGTTACGTCTTTAACCATAGATTTTTGCGTTGAAGGAATAAAATAAATTTCGTTTTTAGTTTCACCATTAGGACTAATCCATATCCATTTTCTTTGGGGTTTTTTCTTAAAGAATGTATTCTTTGCATATAGTTGCTTTTCCTCCAAGTAATTCATCAATGTCTTATATAGTTGTTCTCTTCTTTATATAGTTGTTCTCCTATTTTGACATTGAAGTCTCCGATTATATTAGCGTTAATTTTGATTTCTTTTCTTCCATAGCTGTTGTTATGTCTTCGTAGAAATGTTCAATATCTTCATCGCTGTAGGTACTTGTTGGAGCGTACACCTGTATGATTTTTAAGGACGTTCTTTTTAATTTAAGCGTCGTATATGCTACTCTATCTGAGATGCCCTTGGTAAATTGTATGTATTTAATAACTTTTTTATTTATTATAAATCCTACTCCATTGTTGGTGTTTTCTTCATGACCTTTATAGTATAGCAAAATTCCTGATTTTAGCTGTATTTTTTGTTCTCCTTTTCTTCTTACTTTAGTCAGTTCTTCCTCTAGTTCGTGGATTTTAGTGTCTTCGTTCATGGATCTTATGTTATACGTTCCTATAATCCTGGAGCCGATTCCGAGTTAGTAACTCTACCCACCTGCGGTCCTATTCCGTTTGTTTTATAATTCGACATGTTTCCTGAAGAGGGTTTTTTAGCATTAAAACACCTCGCTTGCCAGACGGGTTGGTGAGTTTTGTGTCAGCCGCCCACTCTGGGTCAGTCGCTGTTCGCAGCCGTCCACTCTGGATACGACGCTACTGTTTTGGTCCACGCCGGGTATTTCATTTCCCCGGTACCACCCATATCTGCGAGGCATTCCCCTATCCGTTACCCGGGGACGCGCCCGATGGGGATAGCCCTCACGGGTAAAAAAATATTATTGTATATTAAATACGTTGAAGTACATAGAATATCTAAATTAGATTCTTCTGATATGTATATAGATTCTTTACATTTAACAATTTTTAATTTTTTAGATGCCCCCGTTGGTAGGAATCTGGGGACAGTTGGGACTGAATCCATCCACATTTTCCTGTACGATACTACCGAAAGACGGAAAATCTCCGAAGAAAGTTATTTTTTTAATAGGTTTTATCCTTCCTTGTGTAGTTATAATATTGGCGTATTCGTGTATATATTATAGTGTCAGAAAATCAAGAAAAAAATTAAAATCTCATCGGTAAGACAATTTTATGATCAATTATAACTAGATCTAATATTTTAAAGTACAATTTATATACAGGTTTTACATCATTATAAAGGTACTTTAATAATCATTAGAAACATACTGAATTTTTATTCTGCTTAAGCGTTGATTTGAAAAACCTATTGAAGTAAAAGTTTTTTTTTTTGGCCTTAGGTTCAAGACCTATTTAGCCAGACAATTGGTTGAATACGTAAAAACAACCTCTTACACTTCCTTTAAATTCATGACAATTTCCTAACCGTTCGTTCATTCACTCAATTTTCCTATCCTTCCCGTGAAACACTATTGGGTGACTATCAAAAAGGATTAAAAGAAACACACGCTTCGCGCTAAGGGCGAGCGCCCACTAAAGTGCGTGGGCAGGGCAAGTAGCAAGTAAGCACGCGTCTAGCATAATGTAACCAATGAAAACGGAATGATTCATTTTATACACCAAAAGACAGTAACAGACATTCATTCTAATCATTCGTTAGGATTGGGTTACATTATGCTAACGCGTGCTACTTGAGCTACTTGCCCACTGCCACCCACTTTGGTGGGCGCTCGCCCTAAGTTGGCCCTCCATGAGCGACTTTTGTAACAACTAACAATTACAGGCAAACGGTAAAGGTAAAATGACATAAAGGAAAGACAATGGGAAATACATCAATAACGACTACCATTTCGGATTCACACAACACTGTAAAAGGCAGTTTAGATTTTCCGTTTGGTACGTTGAAAAATTTCATAAAAATCGATCTAGTAGTTGAATTTAGACTACCTAAATAGAGAATAGACGCAACGTTGATGCGGCAGTATATCTTTTGTTGGGAGATGACTTGAAATAAAAATTTATGGCTTCTTGATATACCGCATTTAAACATCCCGTGGTTTAAGGTCGTAATAACTGGCATTACATTTCACATATATCAGTTTCAGAAAGTTTATTTTATATAGTAAGCGGTTACTGTAGCCATTCCAAGCAAGGCATGTAACATAGTCTACATTTTCGAGAGATGGGGTTTCGGTTTTTGGGGGATAGATGAAGAGTTTTAATAATACGTGCAGTATGGTATTTTTGCTACTGTTAGTAAAGGATTGCTACTCATTTCCCAATTAAGTCAACATGTTTCTTTCAAGCTGAAACTAATCCGATTGGGCAACTCGTTTTTATTCTATACCCACTAAAAGTAGCGTCATTAGCAAAGGTTCTGTTTCATTGCCTGAAATATTAGAGTGACTTTTCGAAGAGAAAGAAACCTATATCGGATCTGGATCGTCTTCATTGAATCTTGTACAAGATCAACCTTTTAGGGATGAAACTGATGCCTTTTAGAAATCATCTGAAGGTTAGTACGTGAATTTTGAAGCTAACTTTAATTTTCTGGTGCTTGAAGTAGAATTCCTTTCAACATATCTCAACGTCGAAATCTGTGGTGCTAAAAGATACATGAGGGATGCGGAGACAAATCCTTGAAGACGTACAGCGTGATTTTGCTATATATTTTTTAAAACCATCATAAATACTGAAAAAAAATCAATTTTTGTCTATAAAATGTTTTATATTCACTTTAGCAAAAAATGTTTTAACGAAAAGTCGTATATCTTAAAAAGGTCTTCGATTTCCGAGTTAAATTCCTAGTCTAATTCATCATCATCAACTTTGCTTACAACCCTGGTGGTCTTGGCCTGTTTTAGAATTAGTCTTCATTTCCCCCTATCTGTTCGGCCCTGGCCTTTCCATTTTTCCTGACTCGTAGGTTCCTCAGTTCTCTTCGAATTGAGTTTTAAACCTAGATTTTGGCCTGCCCTTCTCTTCCTGGTTTTCCTACTTTTGATGATAAAATCTGTCTTTGGTGTCTATCCGGTGTCTAGCCCTTTACAAGGTGTCCCCTAGCCACCCTCCGACTATATCATTTTAATAGACCGAACGATGTGTGCATTTTTCATAGCATTTGATACAACTCAAAATTGTAAGCGCCTGGCGCCATATCCCGCTTCTGGTACTCCTCCGTATATGTGACCTAAGTATTCTTCTATCAAAGTAGCCTAACAGTTCTTCGTCGCTTTTTACCATAGTTCATGTCTCTGACGCGTATGTCAGGACAGGTTTAATAAGAGTTTCATATATTAGTATCTTGGTTTTTCTGCTGATTATGTGTGATGTTAAGAACTGCTTTAGTCCAAAGTAAGCTCTGTTCGCCAGGTATATTCTTCTCTTAATTTCTACGCTTACTAGGTTGCTGTTATTTAGTTGTGTTCCAAGATATATAAACTCCGAGACCCCTTCGAATGTGTGTGCTTCTGTCACCAGATCTTGTGGTGCCGCTATTTGTGTGCTGTTCGTGACCTTCATGTATTTTGTTTTGGATACGTTGACCTGCAGTCCCATTGTCTTCGCGGCTTTTTCTAATGTTTCAAAAGCCTGTATCAGGTCTCTTTTTGTCCGTGTTACTATGTCAATGTCATCTGCGTAGGCCAATATCTGTACACTTCTATTGATGATCGTACCTCTGGTTGTTATGCCCGATTTCTCTATGGCTCTTTCTAGCGCGATGTTAAACAATAGGCACGATAGACTGTCTCCCTGGCGTAATCCAGTATGTGTTTGAAAAGACCTTGACACTCTGTTTTTTACCTTGACTTTGCACTTAACTTTCGAAAGAGTTGCCTTTACCAATGTTATTAGATGCGACGGAATATCTAGTTCTACCATGGCATTATAAAGTGCGCTTCTGTCTACACTGTCATAAGCGCTTTTAAAATCTATGAAGAGGTGGTGGGTATCAATTCCATATTCATATGTCTTTTCTAAGGTTTGTCTGAGAAGGAAAATCTGATCAATTGTTGACCTTTCTTTTCGGAATCCACATTGGTATTTGCCTATTTTTTCCTCAGTATATACTAGTAAACGATCATAAAGTATATAAGCCAGTACTTTGTAAGCCGTATTTAAGAGGGTAATGCCTCGATAGTTGTCACATATTAGTGGATCCCCTTTCTTGTGAATAGGTATTATAATACCTATATTCCAACTGTCTGGGAGTTTTCCTTCTCTCCAAATGGATGCAACAAGTGTTATTATATATTTTTTTAGCGCGTTTCTTTATACTTGAACAGCTCAGGGGATATACCATCTTCTTCAGGGGATTTGTTGTTTTTTAACCATCTAGTCTAATTAAAGCCTCTAATAATCGATTCTGTTTTACTAAATAACTCTACAATCACTCTTTGAGATTGTGCAGTTCTCGGGATAAACAAATTTTATAAACTAATAATGGTTGATTAGTAGTTTGAGTAACAAACTATTTGGATGATCTAGCTCAGATTTATCTTTAAATAGCCCATTAATTGCCATAATTTCAAGTAGCTTTATTACATGTCATTATTGATAAAAAATACAACTATAAAAAACTTACAAAAATAATTATATTAAGAAGATATGTGTACAACTAGAGGAGTATGCTGACGGCTAAGAATCTAGAGAACTTTTCTCAAAAGACAGGTATCTAGCGAGAGAATTCAAACCGCACACACAGATCATCAAAGATAATAGTGAAAATACCATAACAAACCCAGACGGTATCGCAGAGGTGTGGAAACAATATTACGAAATACTATTCTCCAACAACGACCCAGAATATAATACAGAGAAAAAAATTTATGAAAAAGAACCTCAAATATTGAAATCAGAAATTGAGGCGGCAATTAAAAAGCTAAAATTCAGAAAATCAGAATGAGAAGATGGAATAACAGCTGAAACACTCAAAGAAATGCGAGAATTAGGGACGGAAGTAATGCTTAGAATTTGCAATGAGATCTGCAATACCGGAAAGTGACCAAATGACTGGGGTAAACTCACGTTTATTCCCATATATAAAAAAGGTTCACCAACAGATTGCAGTAATTACCGTATAGTACTACAGTAGCATTGATATTACACGAGAACAAAGTACTTCTAAACATCATCAATGAAAGACTAAAATCAGTTCTCTTACCACAAATTCCCACGAGTAATGCGGATTCGTCCCAAGTAGAGAAACAAGAAAACATATTCTTAATATTCGTTAAAATATCGAAAAATCGCGAGAGTTTGACATAGAAACATATTTATGCTTTCTGGACTATTCCAAGGCCTTCGATACCGTAAAATGGGATACAATGTGTTATATACTTAGAGAAATGGGTACGCCAGAATATCTAATCTATTTATTATAAAAACTATATGTAAATAATACTGCTAATGTAAGAATAATGTGGTTTCGAAAAACTTCAAATTAAAATCTGGTGTTTGATAGGGATGCATAATATCTGCTATTCTATTCAATATATATAGTGAACATATATGCGTCAAATTTTTGAGGAGTGGCAAGGTGCAGCAACGATAGGAGGAAGAAAAATCTAAAACCTACGTTATGCTAATGATACTGTTATATTGGCGTCATCACCAGAAGAACTGGAACAAATAATTATGAATAGGTTAGGCACGGTGAGTACGGAATATGGTTTGAAAATAAATATGCAGAAAACCAAAGTGATGATCATCGATAGAATCAGAAACAACCAAGCAGAGATAAGAAACATGGTAGGTTACGAAGTGGTCAGGCAATTTAATTATTTAGGCTCTGTTATTACTAATAGTGGAGGATGCGAAGACGAGATCCGTCGACGCATCACAATGGCCAGATCGGCAACAACCAAACTCACAAAAATTTGGAAGAACACTGACATAACAAAAAACACAAAATTACGCCTTGTTCGAGCATTGATATTTCCTATCGCCACCTATGCTTCAGAAACTCGGACAATAAAAAAAGCTGATTCAAACTGTATAATGGCACTTGAAATGTGGCTCTACCGTAGAATATTGCGCATCCCATGGACCACCCATCGCACAAATTTCTAGCAGACCTTAACGTAAAAACTAGACTCGTCACATCAGCCAAAATATACTGAGACATTTTGCGAATGGATGGAGCGAATGATAGTTGAGGGTAAGGTAGCGGGTAAAAGATCCACAGGAAGATCTCCATTACGATGGTCGGACCAAATAAAGGACATTACTGGTTACTCATTCTCCGAAGCGAAACAACACGCACGGGAGAGAGATAATTGAACAGAAATAGTCAAACAAAATTACATGACGCCACTACATACTTACGAAGGAGAAAAGATAGAGGAGGATTAAAAAAATATAGTTATTAAAATTTATAAATTACTGCAAAAGTAGGGGTTTTTGCAATATTCTAGGTTAATTGTTTATGTATTTTAATTTAGACAAATACAAATAATTTTGCAAATCAAAGAACTTTTTAAGATCGACAGCTTTTATTTGAACCACTTTTCTCTAAAATGTACAAGAAACGTTTTATAGACAAAAAATATTTTTTGCATTAGTTATACTAGTTTCACCCTAGTCATAGGTAGGACTAGGGTGTTTCATGTTTTTCGGATTCGTTCACCAAAAATTAAGATCTTAAATATATCACGTAGAGATAGGGACGACTTTTACCGAGGTGCCTTCGATTAAAAATTCTCTGAACTTTTGAGGGCCAGTTTTAGTGTTTTTAAAAAGAAGAATAACGATTTTAATTTTATCTTAAATTTTGGACACTATTTGGATAAAATAGGATATGTAAAAAAGTGGTGCATAACTAGCATCGCTAGACAGTACTCATTAGTGTAATTGGAACAAAAGTATCTGTGAAATCCTAATAAAAACCACATCAACATTTGAACCATAAACATAATTTTTGCAGTTGCATTCTGCAGTGATTTGAATAATTTCAAACAAATCCTTTTATTTAAAATCCTTGGAACTTGGAAATCTTGCCATGAAGGTGTTCTCATTAAATGCAGAATTTACTTATCCCTGTATTTTCCAGAAAGCCTCTGCTACACAGCGTGTAAATGTGCATCGTTGAAGGATGTGAAGGGATCCTTCTTCTGCTGTTCCTATTATTGTGCCGACATTAGGAATTACGCACCAGTTTGTTATATATTTGAACTATAATGTTTGTTTGTGGCCTGATCATCCTCGACCTTCAATTTTACTAATTAAGATGACATTTACGAGATTGTGTTTGTCGTCTCTTCTGTCGTAAACAAAAGTTAACTCAAAATCACACCCTGAGTTTCAACTAAGAAGTACAGTTATTTTAAGATTATTTAAATTTTTAATTTTATGTTTTAGACCCATTACGGAAAAGAAGAGCACTCGAAGAGAACGGGACGACAGCCGACTGACGAAACTCATGGCCCTGATATTCGTCTGCTTCCTTATATCGTTCTTGCCATTGATGTTAGTTAACGTCCTTGACGACATTGACATTAGATATCCAACTCTGCACGTATTAGCTTCCATAGCAACTTGGGCTTCTAGTGTTATCAACCCATTTATATACGCTGCCAGTAACAGGCAGTACCGTTCAGCATACTCCAAGTTATTTAGGATAGTTAAGTCTAGTGTAGCTTTTTCTGATTCTAAGCATTCGAATAACTTAAAACAAGATAAAAATTCGGTTACCTACAAGCCTAGTGGTAGCGTCACACATTCCTGAATTGTACATAAAAACTTGAGACTGATATTTCGAAAAACGTAACCAAAGAATATATCGACCAAACAAAAATGTTTAACTCGTAGAATTATACTAGCCTAATTGAAAATATATTTAACACAATCCTTTTGACGAATGATAATTATATTATTCATTTAGTCGTGGTATATCGTTGAAAATAAAAAAAATATTAGGTAACTGCGATTTGTAAACTGTTTACCTTAATAGAGTCATATTCTGCCTAGTAATAAATAACTGGTCATACGATACAAACAGTTTATACAATAACTTTGCTCTCAACTTCTGCATATTATTTGGTGTGATAGAAACTATATTTTACACATTAATCTCTGTTTGAGGCCTTCATTAACAGTTTTTACATATATGTCAAGAGATCAATACGATTCTATGATTATTTTTCTTTACAATAGCAATCACTAGTGTTGCAAGTATTTTTGACATCATAAACTTCTGGAGACATGGAAAGGCAAAAGCGGGGTTTCGTGGTCGATTGAGGTCCGTGAGATTTTACAACTGATTTTTGACCGGCTGAATCTGAGTCTTCAACATGATAATCCAAACTTTTGGGCAGGAACTTGTTATTAACAATTTAATTGTTTAAATATTTATAACTAATAAAGCCTTTGTTCAAATTATGTTTTTTTTATTCAAAAAACAAACCAAACTTTGAAAAATTAAAATCTGTCCATTTGAAGCCGAGATATTGCAAATTTATTATTAAAAAATAACAAATTAGTGACTATAACATTTTTGCTTATAACTTTGCTTTTGCTTAACGTAAAAAACTTTAAAGTACCTCATTTTAAAACTATGTAAGTAAATTTTGAAAAATAAATTTTATCTGTTTTTGACCAAGTTATATAGGTTTAAATTACACAATTTTGGGTTTAAAAAAACAATCGAATTGTTTATAACAATTTTTCGGTAGTATGAGATCATAAAATTCACTATCATGTTAATGAGGAGTATAGTACAATGGAAATCGAACATTTTGACCTTTTCTAAACTCATTTTGATAGTTTTCGCTAAAAAACAGTAATTTGAAATTGATCCAGTTGATGCGCTTAACGCGTACACGGCACGGCACGTCTCGTAAATTTCAAATTGTTCATTATTGCCTCTAAAATAATAATGTATTATTTCATTTATTTATCATTTAATAAATGAAATAATAGAAAGAAATAAAGGAGAGAGTTTCTCTCCTAGAGCTTTCCAAACCTCCACAGGTATTCCGTCAGGTCCTATCGTCTTACCGTTCTTTATCCCATTTAACGCCTCGACAACTATATCTTTCCCGCATCCTTTATCTCTCCTCTGCTGTTTTCAGGCCATTCCAGACCCAGACCACTTAAAATTACCAAATTTTTAATCAAATATTGACCTAGCTTTTTTTTAAGAATCTGGAAAACTGTATTTAAAAGTTGATAAATAGTACTAAAATAAAGAGAAGAAACGATTGATTAATTGTTGTACAATTAATCAATCAAATAAAGTATTTAAAGGTTTCACAGTATAGCAGTAATTGTAAATTAAGTATAAATTTACTTTATTAAAAAAAACAAATTGGTGTGTCTACGCACTATTGTCCGAAAATCCGAAGGTATAATCAAATTATCTAGCACAATTTAATCATGATTATAGACCAAAAATTACCCATCATTATTAACCGATCTACGGTTTTTCTGTCGACATAGCAGGAGTTGTTTAAAGTTTCTGGGTTTATAAATACCTTGATTCGAGTCCTCAACTCTTTTGATCATGTGATATTTGTAAATACCAAATAAATTATGTTTCTCGTAGTAAATCTACAATATGATCTAATTTCAAAAGGAATATAGTATACACACTTCTCATGGTATGTGGAACACTTCTTTCTCATCATCCTGCAAGTTATTCTAACATTTTCAAATTCAGTCGATACTTAAAATTATTGTAAACGTTTTATAGTTTTTCAAATGTTTATTGTTAGTTTAAATATTGTTTAAGATATATAGGCTCAGATTAATATGATTTTGACAACGTAGACCAAAGATATGTTAGATAGTATTAAATATTGTTAAGCTTCCATCCTTGTTTAAGTAAACTGAAAATTATATTGTTTAAAATATATTTACAGTTTTCACTATTTTTAAATACAAATCACTAGGTTGTAAGGTAACTGGTTTGCCTTTTTTATTGTTTAAATAAACGAAGATTTAAAGTTAATAATGCTCCTGTCTCTCTAAATATGTCTTTTTCTAAACTATCTATGAAAGTGAGAATATGAAGAACCTTAGATTTTCTTATTTGCTCAACTGCATCTTGGAAGTGTGTTTCTGGAAAATTTATCTTTGATTCTACATCCTGAGATTTAGTACCTACTACAGTTTTTAACTTTTGACAGAAGTTGTATATTTTCAAATATTTAATAAGTTATTTAAAATATTTTTCAGAAATATCCAGAAAGTTTGGACGTCGTCTTGATCTCTACATTCATATCTGTTCATGGCTTTTTGCGTTTTCAATTCATTTTGCATACATTAGTATTTTCATTTTCTGTAAATTATTTTATGAATGATTCTGAAAAAAGTTTTAAGGACGTGAGACATAAGACTTTTTATTCGGTAGTTTGAATGTTATTCATTTTGCGCTGTAACTAGGTTTTAATAAAATTGCTGTCTTTCACCAGTTTAGGTTATGCTTATTTAAAGTCGACAAGACTCGTTATATTACGATTGTACTTTTATTTCTTAAGAGCATTTCATCTGAGATAACTGTGTATTACGAGTAAATCACAAATCTTTCTTCACTTTTATCCAACATGTTTCCACTTTCTAAGAAGTTTCATTGGCAAACATTCCAGGAACATAATATATATATTTAATATATATATATTATATATATATATATATATATATATATATATATATATATATATGCCTGTCTGTAACCTATAAATCGGAAGTAAAGACTTACAGATAATTTATTTTATATTTCAATCATCAAAAAAGTATTTTCTGAATGAATGAATAGGGTGTACATGATGTAAAATCCATTTACAGTTTGTAAAAGTGGAGTTTTTCTACACCAATGTAAAATATTAATATTTAATTTTTATGCCTACTGATATTCCGTAATATCATATGGATAAAAGATAAATATTATATGCAAAAAAATCTTTTGTACAAATTCTACATACGTCTATTTTAAGTTATTCTTATGTTTTCATACTAATATATTAATATGTCACGTTAATTATGTTCTAGAGTGATACTTTTTTAGTTTTATAACTTATATGCATTTTTGTAAGCAGACTTTTTGAAAATAAAGCCATACAAAAACATGTAGTATTCATTTTTTTTACCTCATAATAGAACAATCGAAAAAATAGTAATTGAAACAGTTTTGAACATGCTGAATGTGGAGATATAAGCGAGGTTCCTCTGCCGCCTCTCGCATTTCGACCGCCATCGTTTTCTGTTCATCCATTCGTCTTCTTTGATGGCTCTATATCTCATTATGTGTCGTACATTTTCTTCCCAGGTAACTGAAGGCCTTCACCTTCTTCTTTGTTGTGGTATGTAATTTAAAGCTTTCTTTGGCCATCTATCTTCATTCATTCGCTTCACGTGACCATACCACACTAGTTATCTTGTTTCAATTCTGTTTACACTGGAATATACAGTATTTGTCCTCCTTCTAATATCTTCATTCCTGATATGATCTTTTTTGGATACACCACACGCTCTCCTTAGAAAATCCATTTCTACTACTTCTATTCTGTTTCTATCTTTTTTCGTGATCTGCCAAACTTCTGCCCCATAAGTCATAATAGGCTCTTAGTGGAGCGCCTGGGGGTTTTCACCTCGGTTTAGAGTTATAGTGAATGAATTAATATGATCGATGTGGGATATTTGGGATCTACATCTACATCTACTTGGGATATACTTGGGAACAACAGTTAACTCAAATTGGGATCAAGCTAAGGAAATACGTATAAGAGTAGAAAAGGCAAGAGCATCGTTCACTAGCATGAAGCAAATTTTCACCTCTAAAAGCCTCACCCTACCTCTCAAAATTCGACTTCTGAAATGATATGTATTCCCGGTTTTGTTATATGGAATGGAGGCGTGGACAATGACCGCAACGTTGATGAAAAAAGTAGAGGCCTTCGAAATGTGGGCTTACCGACGTATATTACGTATATCCTGGACTGAGCACGTGACCAACTAAGAGGTACTACGCCGGCTGGGTAAAGAGAGAGAGGTAGGAAAAAGTATAAAGAAAAGAAAGTTGGAATACTTGGGTCACGTTATGAGACATAATAAATATAGAGTACTACAGCTGATCGTTCAAGGATCGTTAGGAAAATAGACAGCAGAAGTGGTCCAGGGAGGAGAAGACACTCGTGGCTCCAAAACTTGCGGCAATGGTTCGGATTGTCATCTGCTGAACTATTCAGATCTGCCGTAAACAAAGTCAGAATAGCCATGTTGATTGCCAACGTTCGGAACGGACAAGGCACATGAAGAAGAAGAAGTGGGATATTGTTTTTAAAGCTATAAATTGCAATGTTTATCCAAAAATTTTTTGTGCACTCTATTTTTTTTATTGTTTAAACAAATTATTATAAAAAATTAATGTTTGACCATATATTTTCACTTTGAACAGTGTTTTTTTATCTATATGTTAAATCTTACCTGAGTAGACATATAGGAACATTTTTCAAAGATACCTCTGTATAAAAATATCAGTAGGGATCTCGAACAGGTACAAAAACATGGAGGGGAGAGCGGAGCGACAGCTGCTATGTATAATGGAATTTATCGGCCAGTTTAATTATAAATGAAACGTACTCTATTGTGTACATTTAAAAAAATAAGGTAACTAATTACGACTAATGAAAAGAAAAAAATTATTAGTATAAAATCTGTTTATTTAAATATATTACATTGTTATCTATATCAAATAAGATATTTAAAAATCAACTGTAATAAAGTATG